TCCCTATGCCAAAACATACTTTCATACCACATCTTGTTAGTCTAGATGACCCACTTTTGCTGAAATCGTTCTAGTAGTTAAGGAAGAGTTATCAAGACAAAGATTTTTAACAAAGGGTCATAACTCCTTAAAAGGGTCGAAATGAACAAATACTACCCTGATGCAAAACATCAGGGGGCAGTTACCATATCTGTAAGCTTTCATGAAATTGGCCCATAAGTTTAAGAGGCAGAATTATTTTTTTTTCAAGAAAAGGCCATAACTCCTTTTTAAAGGGTCGGGATGAAAACATACTTCTTGGATGCACAATGTCAGGGGGCAGTTACCATATCTGTAAACTTCCGTTGAAATTGGCCCTATAGTTTTGGAGGTGTTGTCTGGACAAGCGTTTTTCAACAAAGGGCCATTACTCCGTAAAAAAGGGTCAGATTGAAAAAAGGATTCCGGGATGCACACCATCAGATGGTTGTTGCCATATCTGGAAACTTTCGTTGAAATTGACCCCTTAGTTTTGGAGGGCATAGCCGGACAAGGATTTTCAACACAAGGCCATAACTTTGAGGGGGAAAAAGGCCAGAATGAAAAGATAATACCTGGATGCACAACTTCAGGTGTCAGTTATCGTATATGGAAACTTTCGTAGAAATTGGTCCACTACTTTAGAATGAGTTGACAGATAGACGGATAGACAAGCTGATCCCAGTATACCCCCACCTCCTCCACCCCCACCCCCACACATAACTTCGTTGCGGGGGTATAATAAAGTGTATAATAGTTTTGTTATTAAGATTATTTGATTTATTTTTAGATAATTGCATAGCTTTGTCTATAACACAATCTCAAACCTAAAGTAGTTCTCCAGAGGAAAGATTACTATGACAGAATACATATTCATGAGTTAACACTGCTGCACATAACTTGAAAACATGCCTAACATAATAAAGTGTTTAAGTATGATACAAAAACAGAAAATGTATCGGTATTTATCATAATAAACATTGAAATTGGGCATTGATCATGTTTGGCATGCTAAAAAAGTACATTACCGGTTTTGATATTACATAAAAATGATTCTGTAGACAGAATACATATATAGGAAGTTTTTAAAGAAGTTTAAATTATCGACTACCATTGTTACTATATAAAGGAAAGTTGACAATGTTAGTTTTATTCAAAAGTTTGTGAAAATTTTGCATGTTTTTCCAATTAAAAGTATCACTACGCTTACTTCATGTCTACCAATATGACATATTTAGTATCAAAATAACAGTAATTGTATACACTATACACTATCAGAACTCATTTCCAAATTAACATTTGCCTGTGATATTTATCGGTCATTTTGTTAGGATAACCCCGTCACTCAACCTAGTGTTATGCAAGGAGGTCCACTACGGTTATCAGTTATAATTATGAATAATCATTTATGCAGTTATTGATCATTTTTATGTATCTACATATGGCAAAAGAATAAAGGAAATCAAAGTGGGGGCCAAATGTTGACCCCACCTTTTAACAGATACCATCTACTCCAGTGGACTTTTTCTTCTGCATTTTAGATAAAGCTTAAGTTACAGTGTTACTGTCGACTGAAGTGAAAGAAAATATGCCCTGAAAATGTGCATTCTGTATTTGGAGGAAACATTTAGAGTGAATATTTCAGAATTAACATTTATCAAAAATCTCCCACATCACTTCCCAAACCAGTGAAACGACGTAGGATTATCGAATCGGACAGTGATAGTCAGCCTCAGTGAAGCTGTTGACACCTCAATTTCCGCGTCGTGTGACGTTTTGGAATGTCTTGTTTTGGACAGTAGCGTTGACCGTGTGAACTTGTTGCCCTGTTTTGTTAAGAGAGAGTTAGTCCAACCTTAAATAAGTATGAATTTGTTGTTCAAATACATAATGATTTATTCTAAATTGTAACCATTGTAACTTTGTGTTATTGATACCCTGAATGGAACAGCATATATTTTTTTCCATGTTTCCTTATTATAATCGAAATCAGTCCCTATTTATTTTGTCCTGTTACAGTGATATTATTTTGAATAAGAACTTTACAGAACTCCTATGACTCTTCTTATTTTTTAATATAACCTCAAGATTTAATGGTATGATTGGGTAAATCAACATCTTGTTGGGTACATTGTGAGTATTAAGGTACTTCTTTATGCTCATTATCACTCCCTGATACTGAAGATAATTTGTTATTAAATCATGCATAGCACAAAATTCATAGAAAGAGAAAAAAGATCAATTTCTAATATTTTTAACTAAATCATTGATTATCGTAATCCCCTTGTTGAACCAATTTCTGTAGAAAATGTCATTATTACCTATAGTTATGTTTTCGTTAAATCATACGGGTGTCTCAAATAAGGAATGATCCTTCGTTCTATACATTTATACTATAGAACTTAGTCTATGCCATGCCTTAAAAGCATCCTTCCAAAAATATTTTTACAATTAGTCCCAATCTTAATTAAATACTCGCTACCACAATTTGCTAAGACATTAAATTTAACTTTGTTTTTTAAAAATCATACGCCATTTTCCCTCTGACCAAAAGATCCTTCTGATCTAACTAAGTATTACAGATTCAATAAAACACAAAACGTTGACCATTTTAAGCCAACCCCCGCCCCCAATCTTAATAATGACCTCACGCTTAACTTTGGCATTTTTACCATTCCATAAGTAATTGGAAAGAATTGAGTTTAGCTGTTTTATGAAATTTTTATCTTGATTTGGTAAGGAGATACAAATATGATTCAGCTGTATAATTAATAAGGACTTATTTGTGTTAATTCTCCCAATAGTAGTAAGCTTTCTTTCACTCCGATGATTAAAGATTTAAATTTAACTAGCTTTTTATCAAAATTAATTCTAGGAATTCTGTCTAAATCCAAATTAAATTCAATACCATGTGTAAACTTATCAACCCCCATTGAAAATTCATATTTGGAAGAAGTACATCACTAGTATACTGATTACTACCTATCCTAACAACTTGGGTTTTACCTGTATTTACCTTTAGACCAGAAACTTTAGCATACAAATTTAGTTCCTCAACAGATCCCTTCAAAGATTTTTCTGTTCCATCTAGTATTAAAGAAGTGTCATCTGCATATTGAGAATTTAGAATCTGACTGTCATTCATATTGATACCAGTAATATTTTTATTATTTCTTATCCGAGTTGCCAATATCTCTGCCCAAAGTATCAAAATGTAAAGTGCGATTGGATCGCCTTTACGATAGCCACGTTATATATTAAAGAACGATAAGTTACCCGGGCCCCTGATTAATTGCAGAACGAGGATTATAATGTAATATCTTTACCAAATTTCTCAAATCATTCTCATATTTGAATTACCTATAAATCTCCAAGAGACCGAATCAAATGCTTTTTCAAAATCAATAAATAATAGCATTCCAGGGATATATTGTTATTCAGCATGATGTTATAGATGAGCCTAGTATTTCCCCCTAAATTACGTCCTGATATGAATCCTGTCTGATCTGAGTTGATCATTTTTTGTAGATCCAGATGTAATTTTGTACACAATGTTTAAAAGAGATAGGCCGCCAATTTGTTATGAAATATTTTGATTTATTCGCCTTAGGAATACAAGTAATGACGCCCTGACGTTGAGTAACAGATAACTGACCATTTATACTTATAAACTGCTCAGTCACCATTGCTCTATGTCATTGTGGCCTAGCATTATGGTCCATAAGGATGAAGTCAGGGCCGATAGCGCTAGCGAAGGGTCTGACATAGACATCAAGGATTTCATCGCAGTAAAACCGGGCCGTAACGGTACCATTATGGAAGACATGGAGGTCAGTTTTCCCACGAAGGCTACACCATCACTGAACCTCCGCCATATCGGTCATGATCCACAACGCTACCTGCCTGGAACCTCTCCCCAAGTTGTCTCGGTGAAGTCGAGACAGAATCTGGACTTGTCAGTAAAAAGAACTGGTTCCCATTCCTGAAGATTCCACATTCTTGCCACCACACTTTGAGACACCCCAAGGTCTGTTGCAACCTTACGTTGAGACATGCTAGCCTGCAGCAACCCGATGCCCCTATTTATTTCACCGTCATTTAACCAACGTTGTCTGGTTCGTCTTTGTGCCATATTAAAACAAAATCACGCAAAGGATATTCTCTTAACAATGTGAAGAACGGCTTACTTAGCTTAGCTCAGCTTTTGAAAGGCGTGTAAACGCGGAAAATTATACAAACGACTTTAAATCCAAATTACATGTAAATGACAATTTGTTCACTTTAATTCATACTGTAACGTATTAATTACCCACATAAGTCTATAATATCATTAATCATGAATTTAATTATATCCAAGTGGCAAGTCCCCTAACGTTACTTCATACCCACGTTGACCCTACTAGCTATAGCGACAATGTTATGTGGCCACGTGGGCTGTACCCACAGACATATATTTGTAAGTTATTGATTTAAGTAGAAGTATGATTGTACTATCATGAAATGTATTTAGCAATAGTATTCATAGCTGTTAAGTATATTTTAGATAAAAAAAAAAATGTAACGAAAATGGGCTTACCTTACTCTGCGGCTGTAAGGCACACAGAGCTATAGTTAAATTAGTGCTGCTCCCTACAGAGTTAACTCAATACTGGTGTTGAAATACACGTGGGGCTCTAAGGTGAGGGTCCCACGTGCATATGGGTTCATGCAGGGTCAAAGTGTCTCTCTCAGCCAATACTATCTCTCACCTCTCACACGTCAAAATAACCTGATATAGTACAGGTACATACACACACCATTGACAGATATATATACCCAGTGCAAGTGTTTATAAAATAGCAATTTAATATAAAATATGACATGTATTAGACAATTTAACGAACCCCTGTGTATGTTTAGGTGTGTTGTGATGCTGTAACCTTGTAACGGTCTAAGCGAGACAACTCATGCTTTTCCCTCTCTTTTTTTTTTTAATCGTTCTTCAGTGTTTGGAGGTAGGGTTTCGGTGTGGAGAAATTTTCACAGTAATGCTCTCAGTGCTCCGGACTTATTTTACAGCAAAATGGTAACACAACAAACGGAATAGGTTAATTAAATGTAGCAATGATAGAAGAGGACAACGACAGCATTTAGCAGTAACCAGCATACAAGTACTGTTGAAAACGAATTAGGACGTACCCAGACACCCTCTCCGGCCGACTGATTGAGTCTAGAATATTCGCGCCTAACATAAACAGATAAAGGGCCGGTAAATAGTATAAAGTTTAAGGTAAACTATGACTCAAATTGATGTTGAAATTGTCATAGTTTTACTGCGATTAGCAACAGTATCCAGACAGCTGTAGAGCTCTCTATATGCAGACATTATAATGGCATAACCTTTTTTCATCAGGTTCTCTGCATATAGCTGTAAAGACCTATAATAGCTCTATTTACCTATATGAAATAGGTCTGTTCAGGGATGTGTAGTGGACTACACATTACACATCCCTGGTTTGTCGAGCTATTTTCAAGTGATTTTCTTTTTTAAGGAAAACGAAACAAAGTCGCTTTTAAAAGAAGATTGTATCATGAGGTTGATAACAAACCACGTACAATAATAATAATAAGAAAAGACATTAAATAGAAGTATTCTTTTTAGAAAATAATGATGTAAAAAAATCAGAAATTTTACATTTATGAAAAATGAAAATTAACATCTAACTGTATGCTTTTTGTAGTCAACATTACCAAAAATCTTATTGTTTTATGCTTTAATTTAATGAAAATTGAAATCTGAGAAAAGATGGCTCAATACAGCTATAATTTATAGGTGTATTATGTCTTTGCGTATTGCAGAGTTATCTTCTCTTGTGAGCAGTATTGATTGTTACGTCATTGGTTTGTGAGAGTAACGTCATCAATTTTTGTGAAAACGACGTAATTCTCTCGCACAAACCAATGACGTAACCATCACCTGCTCACAAGAGAAGATAACGCTGCAATACGGACTACATATATAGCTATACTGTATAGGTCTTTATAGCTCAATATATAGCTCAATCGGCAGAGTGTACTGGACCTTCCCATTCCCATTTTTTTGGCAGAAACTTTCATTGACCTAACAGTTATGTTCTAATAATTTTTGAAAATGAATAGGTCTAAATACATTTAAGATGTCAAAATGTCCAAATACTGCTTCAGTACTACGTCACCTATTTTTACGAACCTGAGTAAAATTTAATGGAATTGTCATTCATCAGAATGTGTATACAACAATCCATACGTTAATTGAGTCCAAATTTGAATAAAAATTCACGGAAAAATTGTCATAAATCATTTTACATTTAGTACGTATTCTTACACAGGACCTGTGCACTCTTTGTATCATCAGTTACAATGATACCCCAAAGGTTGTCTTACAGAGAAATATGTGAAATACTTCAATACTTAATTAGCTGCAGTAATCTTAATTCAAATTGTGCCAAAAGATCATGATGTGTCACATCTATTGATGTTTCAGCATTGAACTCCTAATTGTCTCTTGACAATGCTCTCCCAGTTAAATGAATTTATTTACTTGCAATATTATTTAATAGACAGGTTATGTTGATTAAGAAATATTTTGTAACAGGACGGGGAAAATGTGTTTGCCAAACCAGAATCCAATCCTGCGACCTCCGACCTCAAGATATACTTTAACCGAGTGAGCTAACTGCTCACTATCAACAACCTAGTCCAGTTACACTACACTATCTTTTCTTATGTTTACTTTAATACATGTGTTTTCTTTCAGATGGCAGCCACTAGGGAAAGGCGTGCCACTGCTGGCAATAAGATGGGGCGCATGTTGGATGCTGAGGAAGAAGATGATTTCTATAAGACAACTTATGGTGGCTTCAATGAGGTGATATAGCAAGCTAACTAACTAAAAGATAACACATTTTGGCTCTTTTTAGCTTGTGATCCAAAGACACTATTGTTCTTCAATATATACCCATAAAAGAAATCTGTTTTTTAATGTAAATTCATGTTGATAAGCAATGTAATGATATATTCTATCACTAACTACTACATAAAAAGGAAATTCTTGAATGATTTTAAACTTTTTCAGTTTTGATGTTAATTAGTATTTGACATTACTTATTATGCACATGAATTATAAATTTTGGCCACAAAACGACTTGCAGTTACGTGACTACAGATTATCAGATAGGTAGACCCTGAACATGTCCAATACAAAATGAAATAGGTGTACTGCAGTAAACAAATAAATGCCACATGCAATATTGTTGCTCAGCGGACAGTAATCCACCACAGAATGATGACTATATATACGGACAAAGGTTTGTCAACAAAGTGAAATGGACTTGAACGTTTGTCAGAAAGTTAGTTTTCAATCTCCTAACTTGTTCTTTGTCAATTTCTTCAATGTCGTCTTCATCAAACTTGAATACGTTGCAGCCATCTTTGTTGATTTAAGGAGCTCCTTAGCAATTTAAATCTGGGTTGATGTGGCCTTAAATATTTAAGGGATTTCTTAAATTTAAGGAAGGGTTTAAGTTAAGGAAGCTTCATGAAATGTTATTATATTTAAGATAAGGAATTTCCTTGAATTTAAGGGAAAAGACGGTTTAACTTTAAGGAGTTCCTTAAAGTTAAGGAACGTTGATGAAACTGGGGCCTGGCTTTGTTGTAAACCCTATGATTAAATTTATTTTTGTATGCCCTTCAAAGACGGGTTCGTGTTTCGACATTGTAGCCTCAAGGTCAAGGTCACTGTTACTAAAAATAGAGTAATTACTAGAAAACCTTGTCTGGGCCATATTTCAAGAACTATTTTATGTAGAAACTTCAACTTTGGTATGATGGAACATCTAGGGGAAGAAAACTGCAGTGTATCATAATTAGGTCAAAGTGACCTACTTTCACTGAATTTTCTGATACTAGAAGAAATTCTTTTCTGGGCAATATTTCAAGAATTGTTTCATGTAGGGACTACAACTTTGGTATGTTAGAACATCTAAGGGAGGAAAAGTTTAGTTTATCATAATTAAGTCATTGTTACCTACTTTCTCAGAATTCTTGGATACTAGAAGAAAACCTTTTCTGTGCCATATTTCAAGAATTGTTTCATGGAAGGACTACAACTTTGATATGTTGGAACATCTAAGGGAGGAAAAGTGCAGTGTTCCATAATTAAGTCACTGTGACCTACTTTATCAGAATTCTTGGATACGGCCATATTTCAAGAACTATTTCATGTAGAAACTTCAACTTTGGTATGTTGGAACATGTAGGGGAGGAAAACTGCAGTGTATCATAATTAAGTCATTGTGACCTACTTTCTCAGAATTCTTGGATACTTGAAGAAAACCTTTTCTGTGCCATATTTCAAGAATTGTTTCATGGAAGGACTACAACTTTGATATGTTGGAACATCTAAGGGAGGAAAAGTGCAGTGTTCCATAATTAAGTCACTGTGACCTACTTTATCAGAATTCTTGGATACGGCCATATTTCAAGAACTGTTTCATGTAGAAACTTCAACTTAGTATGTTGGAACATGTAGGGGAGAAAAACTGCAGTGTATCATAATTAGGTCATTGTGACCTACTTTCACTGAATTATCTGATACTAGAAGAAATTCTTTTCCGGACAATATTTCAAGAACTATTTCATGTAGGGGCTTTTACTTTTGTATGAGGTAACGTCTATGCGAGGAAAAGTTCAGTGTATCATAATTAGGTCACCGTGACCTACTTTCTTAGAATTGTTAAATACAAGTTGAAAACCTTTTCTGGACAATATTACAAAAATAATTTAGAGCCTTCAACACTAGTATGAGGTTACATTTAAGGGAGGAGAAGTGCAATGAACCTGATTTTCAAAAATTATTATATTGTAAATGAAAAGATTACAATTGACTGGTGTATAATACCACCGCATGGTGGTACTGTACTCTTGTTTCTCAGTAACTATATATGTTGTGCTGTTCATTTCTTCAGAACATTTTAAAACGCTGACAGATTTTTTTCTGTAACAGCAGGCTTAAAAAAAAATATTATTCCCCCCTTCAACTGAAATCAGAGGTATAGTATTCCCTCAGTTAATTTGTACTGGAGCATATATCTCGACCACTGTTTCATGAATAGGCATCAAACTTTCGATAGAGGTACTTTAGTTGTGTGTTAACAGTTGTCTCCCCTGACTTACTTTCATTGACATTTAATTTATCTGATCCTCCCTGAATTTCTTTTAGCTATTTTATGATATATAACTATATAAGCTTATAACAGATCTATGTATATTGTGTACATCTCACAACTATTGATGAGATAGTCAAATGATGGCTCATAACAGAAAGAGAGTCCAATGATGGCACATACCAGAAAGAGTATAGGGTTTCCTGATTAGTTTTTTTTTTTTTACAGGAGATGTACATATCTGTATATAATTATTGTCCCTTTCTTTACATAGAAAACAGGATATTAATTTTGGCTAATCTGTCCATCCTTCTGTCACGTTTTAGTTTCCATGCAGTAACTGCCTCACAACTGGTTTGTTTTCAACAAAATTTGATACGCACATACATATAAACGTGTTTACGGATTGGTTCGGTCATTAATGGGATCCATGCATATATATTTATGCATACTTAATGAGGTATCAAACTTGTGATTGACCAATAGTTGTTTGTGCAATAACAACCTTACTAGTGGGTCTATCGGAGTGAAATTCCTGATCCACTGTGTTGACATGTGTTGGACTGAGATTGATCGTGATTTTGATCCGTGCATGTTTACACGGAATGAGTGAGGCTTACCGTTCTGATTTGCAAATTGGTGTCTGTGCAGTAGCTGCCCCACTAATGTGTCAATTTCAACGAAATTCCTGATGCACATGTATGTTGATATGTGTTAGGCTGAGTTCTATCGTGTATGTGATCCTTGCATATTGATGCACAAATAATGAGGTCATAATAGACTACCTCTAATACATGACCTGAAAGCGTGGGTATAGACTCCACAAATTTGCTCAACTATTTGTAAACATTAAGATGGCGAAGACAATTTTATGACCATCACCTATATCTTTACCTCACCCCGCCCATAGAATGTGTGGTGTCATATTTGTTACCTAAAATCCTGATATAAGGCTGTGTTGGGTAATTACATGATATAAGGCTGTGTTGGGTAATTACATGATATAAGGCTGTGTTGGGTAATTACATGATATAAGGCTGTGTTGGGTAATTACATGGACATTTTCTGAATTTCAGGAAGAAGATGATAAAGTGTACAATTCTGAAGATTCTGAATCTGATCAGATTGATTCTGACTTCAGCATTGATGAAAATGATGAGGTCCGCAGTGATGCTGATGATGATGATGCTCCCAAAAAACGTAAAGGGGTCTCCACCAAAGCCTACAAGGTCAGCTATAGATCTTAGTCTTTTGAATATTTATTATTATATGAGCACATGCCTAGCTTCACAGATATTACTTACTTTGGGAAATTTTTAAATATGAACTTAAACATTTTCGAATGTGCAACGTATATGAGCATTTATACTTTCTGGTCTTCAGCGGGCATTTGAACTTGGATCAAATCTCAAAGTTTGAGAATATTCTCACATTAAAAACATAAAAGGCAAAATAACAGTATGAAGGCTTTAGTTCTTGGAAAGGTGAAACAAAGTTTGGTTTGTGGTGTTTGATCTGTAATAGAATGATTGATTGGGCTATAGCTTCCTGTTGGCCTTTATACTGAAGAATTGATAGTCTGAAATGTCAGAACAACCAGACATTACCTCAACAGCTGAATTCATTTGATCTCCACAGGAACCTGTCAAAAAACTTAAAACCGAGGACAGGAAGCCAAAAGAGAAGAAAGAGAAAGAGAAAAAGAAAAAGACTACATCATCTGTTCAAATTTATCATGCACCTATTGGTAGGAAAGGACACTGTGTTAAAGCCGTACAATATTAATGTAGAAAACAAATATTATTGAAAAAATATTTGTTTATTTAAATCTGATGAATATATTTCATATTTTCTTGTGTGCTGGACAAGATTTTAGATACTCTCTTCCTTATTGACTAATTTACTGGAAAAGGTTTTATATACTCGCTTTTTCTTTGTCTAGGATCATAACTGACAAGAATTTAGAGACCCTTTTCATGTTGTCTAGAAGACTATAAATTAAGTGGGCTCTTCCTTTGTGGCATGTACACCTGACGGGATTTTTGATGCTCCCTTTCTTCCCATTAAGTAGACCCTATTCCTCCCAGTGAAGTATATACATGTAGAAAGGAACAAGATTTCAAATGTTCGGGATTTTTCCTTTTATTTTGAATATTCAATTAAGTTCTGGAATTGGGCTAAAACAGAAGTCAATATGAAAATAGTCACTATTTCAATAGTTCTATATCAAAGGAAAAATACATAGATTAGCTAGAATAAAATTTGAATAAAATTGATATTAAGCAATCCACTTGTTTTTGTGACAGAAAAGAAATCTTTACGAAGATCAACTGCAGTCAAATCGAATGCTCGAGAGGAACGAGAGAAGGTGCGGGAGATGAAGCAGAAGATGTTGAAGGACATGGCACTACAGAAGAAGGTGGCTGAAGTGCGGAGGTTGACTCAGGAAGAACTACTGGCGGAGGCAGAGATTACAGAGGAGCTCAACTTGCAGTCTTTAGGTACAAGAGATAATTGTAGGATTATTTGCATGAATAACAATTTAGGAAGACCTCAAACTTCTGTCTCCAGTCTCCAGTAATTTCAGCTTTTTCATACCAGAGATTATTGTTGGGTGTTCTTTGTATAAGTTATAATTCTCTTTAAAAATGTTTCAGGCTCTTAATAACAATTACGTGTATTTGTAACAGTTTATAAAAGGTAATTGCAACCGAGAGTAATTCCAAACCTTAAATCATGAGTACATCATTAAATTAGGGTCTATTTTCCACTCTTGGCCTTGAAAGAACTTTATTACAAAATGTTTTCCTAGCAGAACAGTGCTTCCAGTCTTAGTAAAATATGATATTTTTTTTAAAATGACTTTCATTATCATAGTTGTTTCATAACAATTTGTTTATAGAGAATTACCATCGTATGGAGATGGAGAAGAAGAAGAGTCGCGTGACCAAACAGATAAACCGCGGACCTTTGATCCGGTACCAGTCCTTCACAATGCCGCTAATTGAGGAACTGCCATGTGATGTGGAGATCAGCGTGGATGTAGACAGGTCAGCATTGACGCCACTTTGTGCTCAACTGTTGTTAGCCTTGTTGCATAATGACGACTTATAAAGCTTTTATTCAGAACAAAGTTTGACGATTTCTGACAAAGTTTGACGATTTCTGACAAAGTTTGACGATTTCTGTTAAGTTGTATGTGAAAGAATTCATGTGGTCATTTGAAAAAAATGGTAGTAATGAGAAGAGGTTTAGGAAAATTTCCATTTTGAATAATTTGTTAAAAGCTTTATCCAACAAAGCTGTATTAAACTTGTGTCCAGAATTATCATACTTGATATAGATACCCAGCATCAAGGAAATGATGCTTAATCCATATTCAAGGTAGATTATTCTTCATTCGGAGTAATGTTGTTACATATTCAAGGTAGATTATTCTTCATCTGAAGTAATGTTGTTACATATTCAGGGTAGATTATTCTTCATCCGAAGTAATGTTGTTACATATTCAAGGTAGATTATTCTTCATCTGGAGTAATGTTGTTACATATTCCGGGTAGATTATTCTTCATCCGGAGTAATGTTGTTACATATTCAGGGTAGATTATTCTTCATCCGGAGTAATGTTGTTACATATTCAGGGTAGATTATTCTTCATCCGGAGTAATGTTGTTACATATTCAGGGTAGATTATTCTTCATCCGGAGTAATGTTGTTACATATTCAGGGTAGATTATTCTTCATCCGGAGTAATGTTGTTACATATTCAGGGTAGATTATTCTTCATCCGGAGTAATGTTGTTACATATTCAGGGTAGATTATTCTTCATCCGGAGTAATGTTGTTACATATTCAGGGTAGATTATTCTTCATCCGGAGTAATGTTGTTACATATTCAGGGTAGATTATTCTTCATCCGGAGTAATGTTGTTACATATTCAGGGTAGATTATTCTTCATCCGGAGTAATGTTGTTACATATTCAGGGTAGATTATTCTTCATCCGGAGTAATGTTGTTACATATTCAGGGTAGATTATTCTTCATCCGGAGTAATGTTGTTACATATTCAGGGTAGATTATTCTTCATCCGGAGTAATGTTGTTACATATTCAGGGTAGATTATTCTTCATCCGGAGTAATGTTGTTACATATTCAGGGTAGATTATTCTTCATCCGGAGTAATGTTGTTACATATTCAGGGTAGATTATTCTTCATCCGGAGTAATGTTGTTACATATTCAGGGTAGATTATTCTTCATCCGGAGTAATGTTGTTACATATTCAGGGTAGATTATTCTTCATCCGGAGTAATGTTGTTACATATTCAGGGTAGATTATTCTTCATCCGGAGTAATGTTGTTACATATTCAGGGTAGATTATTCTTCATCCGGAGTAATGTTGTTACATATTCAGGGTAGATTATTCTTCATCCGGAGTAATGTTGTTACATATTCAGGGTAGATTATTCTTCATCCGGAGTAATGTTGTTACATATTCAGGGTAGATTATTCTTCATCCGGAGTAATGTTGTTACATATTCAGGGTAGATTATTCTTCATCCGGAGTAATGTTGTTACATATTCAGGGTAGATTATTCTTCATCCGGAGTAATGTTGTTACATATTCAGGGTAGATTATTCTTCATCCGGAGTAATGTTGTTACATATTCAGGGTAGATTATTCTTCATCCGGAGTAATGTTGTTACATATTCAGGGTAGATTATTCTTCATCCGGAGTAATGTTGTTACATATTCAGGGTAGATTATTCTTCATCCGGAGTAATGTTGTTACATATTCAGGGTAGATTATTCTTCATCCGGAGTAATGTTGTTACATATTCAGGGTAGATTATTCTTCATCCGGAGTAATGTTGTTACATATTCAGGGTAGATTATTCTTCATCCGGAGTAATGTTGTTACATATTCAGGGTAGATTATTCTTCATCCGGAGTAATGTTGTTACATATTCAGGGTAGATTATTCTTCATCCGGAGTAATGTTGTTACATATTCAGGGTAGATTATTCTTCATCCGGAGTAATGTTGTTACATATTCAGGGTAGATTATTCTTCATCCGGAGTAATGTTGTTACATATTCAGGGTAGATTATTCTTCATCCGGAGTAATGTTGTTACATATTCAGGGTAGATTATTCTTCATCCGGAGTAATGTTGTTACATATTCAGGGTAGATTATTCTTCATCCGGAGTAATGTTGTTACATATTCAGGGTAGATTATTCTTCATCCGGAGTAATGTTGTTACATATTCAGGGTAGATTATTCTTCATCCGGAGTAATGTTGTTACATATTCAGGGTAGATTATTCTTCATCCGGAGTAATGTTGTTACATATTCAGGGTAGATTATTCTTCATCCGGAGTAATGTTGTTACATATTCAGGGTAGATTATTCTTCATCCGGAGTAATGTTGTTACATATTCAGGGTAGATTATTCTTCATCCGGAGTAATGTTGTTACATATTCAGGGTAGATTATTCTTCATCCGGAGTAATGTTGTTACATATTCAGGGTAGATTATTCTTCATCCGGAGTAATGTTGTTACATATTCAGGGTAGATTATTCTTCATCCGGAGTAATGTTGTTACATATTCAGGGTAGATTATTCTTCATCCGGAGTAATGTTGTTACATATTCAGGGTAGATTATTCTTCATCCGGAGTAATGTTGTTACATATTCAGGGTAGATTATTCTTCATCCGGAGTAATGTTGTTACATATTCAGGGTAGATTATTCTTCATCCGGAGTAATGTTGTTACATATTCAGGGTAGATTATTCTTCATCCGGAGTAATGTTGTTACATATTCAGGGTAGATTATTCTTCATCCGGAGTAATGTTGTTACATATTCAGGGTAGATTATTCTTCATCCGGAGTAATGTTGTTACATATTCAGGGTAGATTATTCTTCATCCGGAGTAATGTTGTTACATATTCAGGGTAGATTATTCTTCATCCGGAGTAATGTTGTTACATATTCAGGGTAGATTATTCTTCATCCGGAGTAATGTTGTTACATATTCAGGGTAGATTATTCTTCATCCGGAGTAATGTTGTTACATATTCAGGGTAGATTATTCTTCATCCGGAGTAATGTTGTTACATATTCAGGGTAGATTATTCTTCATCCGGAGTAATGTTGTTACATATTCAGGGTAGATTATTCTTCATCCGGAGTAATGTTGTTACATATTCAGGGTAGATTATTCTTCATCCGGAGTAATGTTGTTACATATTCAGGGTAGATTATTCTTCATCCGGAGTAATGTTGTTACATATTCAGGGTAGATTATTCTTCATCCGGAGTAATGTTGTTACATATTCAGGGTAGATTATTCTTCATCCGGAGTAATGTTGTTACATATTCAGGGTAGATTATTCTTCATCCGGAGTAATGTTGTTACATATTCAGGGTAGATTATTCTTCATCCGGAGTAATGTTGTTACATATTCAGGGTAGATTATTCTTCATCCGGAGTAATGTTGTTACATATTCAGGGTAGATTATTCTTCATCCGGAGTAATGTTGTTACATATTCAGGGTAGATTATTCTTCATCCGGAGTAATGTTGTTACATATTCAGGGTAGATTATTCTTCATCCGGAGTAATGTTGTTACATATTCAGGGTAGATTATTCTTCATCCGGAGTAATGTTGTTACATATTCAGGGTAGATTATTCTTCATCCGGAGTAATGTTGTTACATATTCAGGGTAGATTATTCTTCATCCGGAGTAATGTTGTTACATATTCAGGGTAGATTATTCTTCATCCGGAGTAATGTTGTTACATATTCAGGGTAGATTATTCTTCATCCGGAGTAATGTTGTTACATATTCAGGGTAGATTATTCTTCATCCGGAGTAATGTTGTTACATATTCAGGGTAGATTATTCTTCATCCGGAGTAATGTTGTTACATATTCAGGGTAGATTATTCTTCATCCGGAGTAATGTTGTTACATATTCAGGGTAGATTATTCTTCATCCGGAGTAATGTTGTTACATATTCAGGGTAGATTATTCTTCATCCGGAGTAATGTTGTTACATATTCAGGGTAGATTATTCTTCATCCGGAGTAATGTTGTTACATATTCAGGGTAGATTATTCTTCATCCGGAGTAATGTTGTTACATATTCAGGGTAGATTATTCTTCATCCGGAGTAATGTTGTTACATATTCAGGGTAGATTATTCTTCATCCGGAGTAATGTTGTTACATATTCAGGGTAGATTATTCTTCATCCGGAGTAATGTTGTTACATATTCAGGGTAGATTATTCTTCATCCGGAGTAATGTTGTTACATATTCAGGGTAGATTATTCTTCATCCGGAGTAATGTTGTTACATATTCAGGGTAGATTATTCTTCATCCGGAGTAATGTTGTTACATATTCAGGGTAGATTATTCTTCATCCGGAGTAATGTTGTTACATATTCAGGGTAGATTATTCTTCATCCGGAGTAATGTTGTTACATATTCAGGGTAGATTATTCTTCATCCGGAGTAATGTTGTTACATATTCAGGGTAGATTATTCTTCATCCGGAGTAATGTTGTTACATATTCAGGGTAGATTATTCTTCATCCGGAGTAATGTTGTTACATATTCAGGGTAGATTATTCTTCATCCGGAGTAATGTTGTTACATATTCAGGGTAGATTATTCTTCATCCGGAGTAATGTTGTTACATATTCAGGGTAGATTATTCTTCATCCGGAGTAATGTTGTTACATATTCAGGGTAGATTATTCTTCATCCGGAGTAATGTTGTTACATATTCAGGGTAGATTATTCTTCATCCGGAGTAATGTTGTTACATATTCAGGGTAGATTATTCTTCATCCGGAGTAATGTTGTTACATATTCAGGGTAGATTATTCTTCATCCGGAGTAATGTTGTTACATATTCAGGGTAGATTATTCTTCATCCGGAGTAATGTTGTTACATATTCAGGGTAGATTATTCTTCATCCGGAGTAATGTTGTTACATATTCAGGGTAGATTATTCTTCATCCGGAGTAATGTTGTTACATATTCAGGGTAGATTATTCTTCATCCGGAGTAATGTTGTTACATATTCAGGGTAGATTATTCTTCATCCGGAGTAATGTTGTTACATATTCAGGGTAGATTATTCTTCATCCGGAGTAATGTTGTTACATATTCAGGGTAGATTATTCTTCATCCGGAGTAATGTTGTTACATATTCAGGGTAGATTATTCTTCATCCGGAGTAATGTTGTTACATATTCAGGGTAGATTATTCTTCATCCGGAGTAATGTTGTTACATATTCAGGGTAGATTATTCTTCATCCGGAGTAATGTTGTTACATATTCAGGGTAGATTATTCTTCATCCGGAGTAATGTTGTTACATATTCAGGGTAGATTATTCTTCATCCGGAGTAATGTTGTTACATATTCAGGGTAGATTATTCTTCATCCGGAGTAATGTTGTTACATATTCAGGGTAGATTATTCTTCATCCGGAGTAATGTTGTTACATATTCAGGGTAGATTATTCTTCATCCGGAGTAATGTTGTTACATATTCAGGGTAGATTATTCTTCATCCGGAGTAATGTTGTTACATATTCAGGGTAGATTATTCTTCATCCGGAGTAATGTTGTTACATATTCAGGGTAGATTATTCTTCATCCGGAGTAATGTTGTTACATATTCAGGGTAGATTATTCTTCATCCGGAGTAATGTTGTTACATATTCAGGGTAGATTATTCTTCATCCGGAGTAATGTTGTTACATATTCAGGGTAGATTATTCTTCATCCGGAGTAATGTTGTTACATATTCAGGGTAGATTATTCTTCATCCGGAGTAATGTTGTTACATATTCAGGGTAGATTATTCTTCATCCGGAGTAATGTTGTTACATATTCAGGGTAGATTATTCTTCATCCGGAGTAATGTTGTTACATATTCAGGGTAGATTATTCTTCATCCGGAGTAATGTTGTTACATATTCAGGGTAGATTATTCTTCATCCGGAGTAATGTTGTTACATATTCAGGGTAGATTATTCTTCATCCGGAGTAATGTTGTTACATATTCAGGGTAGATTATTCTTCATCCGGAGTAATGTTGTTACATATTCAGGGTAGATTATTCTTCATCCGGAGTAATGTTGTTACATATTCAGGGTAGATTATTCTTCATCCGGAGTAATGTTGTTACATATTCAGGGTAGATTATTCTTCATCCGGAGTAATGTTGTTACATATTCAGGGTAGATTATTCTTCATCCGGAGTAATGTTGTTACATATTCAGGGTAGATTATTCTTCATCCGGAGTAATGTTGTTACATATTCAGGGTAGATTATTCTTCATCCGGAGTAATGTTGTTACATATTCAGGGTAGATTATTCTTCATCCGGAGTAATGTTGTTACATATTCAGGGTAGATTATTCTTCATCCGGAGTAATGTTGTTACATATTCAGGGTAGATTATTCTTCATCCGGAGTAATGTTGTTACATATTCAGGGTAGATTATTCTTCATCCGGAGTAATGTTGTTACATATTCAGGGTAGATTATTCTTCATCCGGAGTAATGTTGTTACATATTCAGGGTAGATTATTCTTCATCCGGAGTAATGTTGTTACATATTCAGGGTAGATTATTCTTCATCCGGAGTAATGTTGTTACATATTCAGGGTAGATTATTCTTCATCCGGAGTAATGTTGTTACATATTCAGGGTAGATTATTCTTCATCCGGAGTAATGTTGTTACATATTCAGGGTAGATTATTCTTCATCCGGAGTAATGTTGTTACATATTCAGGGTAGATTATTCTTCATCCGGAGTAATGTTGTTACATATTCAGGGTAGATTATTCTTCATCCGGAGTAATGTTGTTACATATTCAGGGTAGATTATTCTTCATCCGGAGTAATGTTGTTACATATTCAGGGTAGATTATTCTTCATCCGGAGTAATGTTGTTACATATTCAGGGTAGATTATTCTTCATCCGGAGTAATGTTGTTACATATTCAGGGTAGATTATTCTTCATCCGGAGTAATGTTGTTACATATTCAGGGTAGATTATTCTTCATCCGGAGTAATGTTGTTACATATTCAGGGTAGATTATTCTTCATCCGGAGTAATGTTGTTACATATTCAGGGTAGATTATTCTTCATCCGGAGTAATGTTGTTACATATTCAGGGTAGATTATTCTTCATCCGGAGTAATGTTGTTACATATTCAGGGTAGATTATTCTTCATCCGGAGTAATGTTGTTACATATTCAGGGTAGATTATTCTTCATCCGGAGTAATGTTGTTACATATTCAGGGTAGATTATTCTTCATCCGGAGTAATGTTGTTACATATTCAGGGTAGATTATTCTTCATCCGGAGTAATGTTGTTACATATTCAGGGTAGATTATTCTTCATCCGGAGTAATGTTGTTACATATTCAGGGTAGATTATTCTTCATCCGGAGTAATGTTGTTACATATTCAGGGTAGATTATTCTTCATCCGGAGTAATGTTGTTACATATTCAGGGTAGATTATTCTTCATCCGGAGTAATGTTGTTACATATTCAGGGTAGATTATTCTTCATCCGGAGTAATGTTGTTACATATTCAGGGTAGATTATTCTTCATCCGGAGTAATGTTGTTACATATTCAGGGTAGATTATTCTTCATCCGGAGTAATGTTGTTACATATTCAGGGTAGATTATTCTTCATCCGGAGTAATGTTGTTACATATTCAGGGTAGATTATTCTTCATCCGGAGTAATGTTGTTACATATTCAGGGTAGAAAACCTGTATCCAGGTTAATGATACTCCATGTTCAGGTGAGAATATGAAGTCAGGGTAGATAACCTGACATTAAATATTATTATTAAAAAAGTTACCTTTTGCTTAATATTCCTCTTTCAGTATTGAACCCCAGAAGAAGGTAGAAGAATACGACCTTGTGAATTGTGAAAAGTGCTCAAGGACGTTTGTAACATTTACAGATGAACGGATATTCAAGGACTACTTTCCACAGAAGAAACACAAACCACCAGTAAAACAGTATTGCCCAGTGACCAAAAAACCAGCTAAATACTTTGACCCCATCACACAGACACCCTATTCCTCCCTCAAGGCTTTCCACTGTATCCGAGAGGCCTATTCACAGCAGCAAGAGGAAACAGGGCACAAGAAGAAATGATTTTGTGTGTCTAAATATCTCATGCTTACATAACGGTTGAGAGAACATATTGTTTTGATAATGAATAACGAAAGTCATGTTACAATGTTGACGTATGCATTGAAGTTTATGAATTGTAAACAATTTCATTGGCTGTCAGTTTTTTATCGTGAAAGTGGTAGTGATATTTTCTATTCATCAGTCAGTCAGCTTACTAGTACATCTGTTCAACAAGACTTATGTATTTGGTGCTATGCTGAGGTCTTGGGCCAAGCTTTGTCAGTTGGTACATCAATAAACTAATTAAGGTTTATCAGTGGTAACCATGCACCAATTTCATCAGAAATTATGACAACAAAAAAGAAAATCCTATTTGATATGCCTCATCTATGTAACAGCATTTCTGATTGGATTATATTGATCACATGATGGGGAAATAAAACATCATGTTGCCCTCAATAGTTCAAGTTCCTCAAGTCATATTTCCTTTATTCAGGGCTTCTCTAGAAACTAGGCAAGAGCCACCACACCTGGGTTCCAAGTGACTGAAGCAGTCCACAGCAGTGGCACATCATCCTGCTCATTTCTAGTGTTGTTAGGGTTCCAAGTGACTGAAGAAGTCCACAGCAGTGGCACATCATCCTGCTCATCTCTAGTGTTGTTAGGGTTCCAAGTGACTGAAGCAGTCCACAGCAGTGGCACATCGTCCTGCTCATTTCTAGTGTTGTTGAGGTTACAAGTGACTGAAGCAGTCCACAGCAGTGGCACATCATCCTCCTGCTCATCTCCAGTGTTGTTGAGGTTCCAAGTGACTGAAGCAGTCCACAGCAGCGCCACATCATCATGCTCATCTCCAGTGTTGTTAGGGTTCCAAGTGACTGAAGAAGTCCACAGCAGTGGCACATCATCCTGCTCATCTCCAGTGTTGCTAGGGTTCCAAGTGACTGAAGCAGTCCACAGCAGCGGCACATCATCCTGCTCAACTCTAGTGTTGTTGAGGTTCCAAGTGACTGAAGCAGTCAACAGCAGTGGCACATCATCCTGCTCATTTCTGGTGTTGTTAGGGTTCCAAGTGACTGAAGCAGTCCACAGCATTGGCACATCAACCTACTCATCTCCAGTGTTGTTAGGGTTCCAAGTGACTGAAGCAGTCCACAGCATTGGCACATCATCCTGCTCATCTCCAGTGTTGCTAGGGTTCCAAGTGACTGAAGCAGTCCACAGCAGTGGCACATAGTCCTGCTCATTTCTAGTGTTGTTGAGGTTACAAGTGACTGAAGCAGTCCACAGCAGTAGCACATCATCCTGCTCATCTCTAGTGTTGTTAGGGTTCCAAGTGCCTGAAGCAGTCCACAGCATTGGCACATCAACCTACTCATCTCCAGTGTTGTTAGGGTTCCAAGTGACTGAAGAAGTCCACAGCAGTGGCACATCATCCTGCTCATCTCTAGTGTTGTTAGGGTTCCAAGTGACTGAAGCAGTCCACAGCATTGGCACATCAACCTACTCATCTCCAGTGTTGTTAGGGTTCCAAGTGACTGAAGCAAAGTTCTTTAATTCCTGCTGATGAATCCTGTTTCAAATAGGCTTTGTCCTTGTGACATGAGATTAATGTTGGGGAAACAAAGAATGATATTAATTGCTTCAAATAAATGTAAAGTGTAGTTTAACTGCGGTTTTCTTTATCAGGTGCCAGTAGTTATATAATATCATTGTAATGAGGGATCATCAGAATGATGTTTTACATGATATTTGTTTTTTTATTTGTACCCAGGTATTTATTTTTACAATATGTTCCTAAAATACATAAACTCTTTATGGATATGAACAGTTTATTGCTATTGGTTTACCAGATGGATAACTTATGTGAAAAATATCCACAAACCGCTCTGTAAAGGAAAGAATTTCATGATAATCTTGACTATAGCATTTCAGGAGTGAGATAGGTACATGTAAGGCATTGTTTAAAGGGTAAGCAAGGTCATCTTAGAAATGTTAAGGTTGCAACTTTTGATATCACAAATCTACTTTGTACCTTGGATTTTCCCCATGACGGAATCAAAAGCCCACAGTTAGCTACAGGTATATTTAATTGGTTGCAGACATCAAAAATGGACCAAATGCACGGCTAATAGAGAGTGGTTCTTAAACTTTGAAGATACTCTTTAAATCAAATTAGTTCAGTTTTACATTTATGCTGCAACACAATCACTTTTATCTGAAATCAAAGCTTCTTTCAGAAATGACAGGTAATGCATACTCCATAAATGCTTCCAGACTAGTTAACATACATCATCGGCAAAAAGTCATGCTATACCAAGTTTTTGTTCTGTCATGAGAAAATCCAAGAGGCACAGAAGAAACATATGTTGACAGCGTAAGAATGGATTTCAAAGTTGATGTAAGATTTCCAGAGGTGATTGCTTGTGAGTACAAGAATACGAGAGCATTTGTAAGGAGTTATGTTAGTAAAACATGGCACTGTATAAAGATGTGTGACTGAGAAAGTAGAAATGAAAGGTAGATAGAAATTCTATATCTACCGTACTTGATTGTTTGTTATAAATAAAATTACCGATCGTCAAACTCAGCTGTTGTTTATTAGAATCAACAGTGGGTGTCAGAATTAAGGTGAGCATGTCACTTTCTGCATATTTGGGATCACATTGACTTTTTATACGTGGTAAAAAAAATGCTGGGTCTTGAGGATATCCAAAGAGTGAGGATTTTTTATGACTTCTCTCCAATAGACCGAGTTAGTTATCAAGTAAAATCCACAAGATCCAGTAACGTTTTGAGAATAAACTCATATGATTTGATAGCATACGTATATTATAAATCATTATCATTTCTTACAAGGCTGTTAAGCCCATGTTTTACAGAAAATCTCTTCTTATGACCGTAGCTGTTCCGAGAACGTTAAAGCCCCTAACAAACAAACGAATACAGAAAAATATTGTCATGTGTTCCTATTGGGTAAAAACTTAATATAAGATGTCATAATACTAGTATAATGTCAAAAAGAAATGCGATATTACCAGCATTACCATGCTTTTTTAGTGATGATGCATAACAGATATGGGAAACATAAATATTGGTACATTTACGGCTATCATCGTTTTGTATCATGAAATTTAATAATTCAAGGGAGATAAATCTTACAGTTTTAGCTCACTTGTCATTGAGTCGTGTAAGCTTATGCCATGTTATATAGGCCTGTCAACTTTAGGATACATTCCGGGTCAATGGTATTCAATTTTGTATTTGATATAAAGTGACAGAGGAATAAGGACTCGTCTTTCACCAATGCAACGCGACCGGGTTTGATTCCCCCGATTGAAAAAGTATGGGATCACTTGAGAATACCACGGGGTATTCCGGTTTCATCCCTCATAATTAAAGACCCCTAGCACTGTAACATCCGGGCCAACTAGAGTGATAAATATAAGTTGTAAAAACCTGTTTCATAATTGTTGTAAAATAAATAAATTGTATATATATGGCTTGATATATATTTCTAACCAGTGATATCTATGGGATTGGACCATAGTATATCTATGGCACCTTGTCGCGCAGACTCTCTCATATTCCTTTAAACTTTGGACAAGCTAATTATTTATACCCCCACTTCAACCAAAGTGTTGGATGGTATATCGAATTTGGTTTGTCTGTGTATCCATGCTGACTGGTTTCCTGGAGCATATCTCGACTACTGTTTCACGATTGGGCATCAACGTTTGTAGGATCACATCCTAAATCAAGGTCACTGTGACCTCAGTTTGATTTCTGGCCTGACCTCAATTACTAAAATAATGGCTTCTTGAGTATGTCTCGGCCTATTTCAAGATAGGTACATCGTGCGAATGCAGATTTGTCGTATTCTAAAACGAGATCACTGACCTCGATTTGCTCTATTAATTTGACACCAAATATTGAAATGACCGTTTCTTGAGCATACATGTAAATGTATCTCGGCTGCTATTTTACAAACGGGCATCAAATTTATAATATGGGAAGGCGAATTGTTGCATACTAAAATGAGATCACAATGACCTCTATTTGACCTTGCCCTCAAGTATTAAACAACTGTTTCTGGAGCATATCTCAGCCGTTATATCATGAATGAGCATCACACTTTGTATTTAACACCGTGTATCACAGGTTTCAGAAACATATCTTGACTGCCATTAGTGTTTACTTAAGACTTGGTGTGAGTGTACTTGATAATCCAAGTAATGTGTCGGATAATAACATTGGTTAATTTCAGTATCAATATGATCTCAAGTTTTAGATACGGCTTCAAAAGATCTATTGGCTACTATATATGTTATGTATACTAGTCAGACTTAGTGTGACGGTCAGGTGGTCGCAGTGCGGTGACCAGAAAAGGTTACCTCGTTACCTCGACCTGAAGTACCCAACAGTTTATATGGTTACACAGCTAAGGTGAGCGGGGCTATCCATGAAGCGCACGCTTGAAGTTAAATTTGTGTGTGTTATTTTCACCAGAGACGTATACTTATACGTTTCTGTTTTCACCTTTTGTAGGATCAAAAATCAACAGAGCTTCAGTTAATCTAAGTTCTAGTAGCTCTAAGTACTGAATGAACAAAATTGTACGATTTTCACCATCATAATATTGAACATTAAAACTTTCATATAATAACACTTTTAGTGATAAATGTCATGTCGATAAAAGTGAAACGCAGCACTGATTACGGGGAGAATAACACATTTGTTTTGGATGTTCAAAATGGCTATTTGTCTTTTTTTCTTAAATGCTTGTAAAAAAGGTATTTTTCAGTTGCCTATTTGTTTTTAAAGTTATTCATGATTTGTTAAATTTAATGAAAGTCTGTTGTACTAGATCAAAACGAGGTTTGAACAGAATATGGTCAGATTAGGACATGATCTAACGAGAGTTACCTCGCTTTAATTTGCCGTTTCATCTACTAAACAGGTTGAGTGGTACCATAGTTTAATGTTAAATTAACATCACTGGTAAGACTCAAATTACAGAAAATTTTGAAAGCTCCAAGACAGAAACAATTTATATGCTCGTTTAAGCCCTCCATAAAACCTTCGTTAGTCCCCTGTTATTGCCTTCAATCCTGTTTATCTGAACAAATGGGGAAATCTAAATGAGTCGCACTCGATAGCTTCGATCAAATTTTTTATAATTTGTATTTCAATGTCTGACACCGAAGGAGAGACTCCAGCATGTATTGAGACAATGACTTCCTCAGTCACGTGGTGTTATTACATTGGTGACAGACTTGGGTGTCATAATGCCAGCGGTCTCCGTGGACCATGGTTGGGTTACTTGCAATAATTTGACCCAGTCGTTCATTCCAGGAGCTTGATTTAAATTTTAAATAAATAACCTCAAAAGTGTAAAGTATTTTTTATAAAGCAAGAAGTCTCTTCCATGGCATTTTTTTAGCCCACCATCATCTGATGGTGGGCTATTCAAATCACCCTGCGTCCGTGGTCCGTCGTCCGTCCGTTGTCCGTCGTCCTTCGTCCGTCCGTAAACAATTCTTGTTATCGGTATTTCTCAAGAAGTACCAGAGGGTTCTTTCCCAAATTTTATATGCAGGTTCCCCTTGGTCCTTAGCTGTGCAGGGCAACTTTTGAGATTGATCAGATAAACAACATGGTCGACAGGCAGCCATCTTGGATTTTGATAGTGAAAGTTTGTTATCGCTATTTCTCAAGAAGTACCAGAGGGATCTTTCTCAAATTTTATATGTAGGTTCCCCTTGGTCCTTAGCTGTGCAGGGCAACTTTTGAGATTGATCGGATAAACAACATGGCCGACAGGTAGCCATCTTGGATTTTGATAGTGTGGGTTTGTTACCGCTATTTCTCCGGAAGAACTAGAGGGATCTTTCTTAAATTTTATATGTAGGTTCCCCTTGGTCCTAGCTGTGCAGGGCAATTTTTGAGACTGATCGGATAAACAACATGGCCGACAGGCAGCCATCTTGGATTTTGATAGTGAAAGTTTGTTATCGCTATTTCCCGGGAAGTACGGGAGGGATCTTTCTCAAATTTTAAATGTAGGTTCCCCTTGATCCCTCGTTGTGTATGTTATATTTTGAGACTGATCATAAAAACAAAATGGATTAAAAGAAGAACTAAACAGATCTTTTTCATATTGCAATGATCGATTCTATTTCTTTCACATTAAGTACTGTACTAGTAAATATGTGAAATGACAAACTCACTTTGAAGGTTGGCTTTCATACACATCAGTATTAAGTTTAGATCAAAAGTTACCTCAAGGTGCATTTACTGTTAACATGACTCGAACAAACAGATTAGAGGAAAGAAGAGAAAAGATCGAACTGACAAAGAACTGATGAAGATGGTACAAAGGTGGGCGCCAAGATCCCTCTGGGATCTCTTGTTTATAAACACAATTACTTTAAATGAATACCCATTTCAAAAGGGATTGTTAAAAAAAATCAAGGTTTTTATGTTGCGAGGATATGTAACAACCGTTTATCGCGCTGATACTGAAGGATAAGAACCACTAGTGTTACTGGCGCTGATACTGAAGGATAAGAACCACAAGTGTTACTGGCGCTGATACTGAAGGATAAGAACCACAAGTGTTACTGACGCTGATACTGAGGGATAAGAACCTATAGTGTTACTGGCGCTGATACTGAAGGATAAGAACCACTAGTGTTACTGTCTCCTCAGTCAGTGTTACTCCTCTCGTCGTTTAACCTTGAATTAACCTTGTTATGTGTCTCCTCTTACTGTTGGTGTCACCCTTAAATTAGATTACTCTTTTTAACTTCAGATATATTAACTTATTAATGGTCAATGAAACCAATCTGATTGGTGGTGTCAACCATCTAGATGTAAATGTTACCTCTCTAACTGTCGGTGCTACCCCTCCAACTGTTAATAACACATCCATCTGTGCCACCTCTTTGTTAATAAGGCCCATCCTACTGTTAGTGATACTCGTCTTACTGTCACCCCTGAGTGTCAATCTTCTAGATGTGGTACCCTTATATCTGGGTCGATTCTCTATATGTGGTACCCTTCTATCTAGGTCACTCCTCTATCTGTGGTACCCTTATATCTAGGCCTCTCCTCTATCTGTCGTACCCTTATATCAAGGTCTCTCCTCTATCAGTGGTACCCGTATATCTAGGTCTCTCCTCTGTCTGTGGTACCCTTATATCTGGGTCTCTCCTCTATCAGTGGTACCCTTCTATTAAGGTATATCCTCTAGCTGTGGTACCCGTATATCTAGGTATCTCCTCTATCGGGGGAACCCGTATATCTAGGTATCCCCTCTATCTGGGGTCCCCTTCTATCCAGGTCACTCCACTATCTGTCGTACCCTTATATCTAGGTCACTCCCCTATCTGTTGTACCCTTATATCTAGGTCTCTCCTCTGTCTGTGGTTCCCTTATATCTGTGTCTCTCCTCTATCAGTGGTACCCTCCTATTGAGGTATATCCTCTATCTGTGGTACCCGTATATCTATGTATCTCCTCTATCTGTGGTACCCGTATATCTAGGTATCTCCTCTATCTGTGGTCCCCTTCTATCCAGGTCT